TAGATGGCCGCTTGTTTACCTTCAAGCTTTTAAGACCCCAGACGCTGTATCTTTTGATAGCGGTGCACCATTAGCCTTCTTCACCACATTTGCTTATTCAAACATGTAACTTATTAAGGCCACTAGGGCTCCTAGACCTTGAATGACCCTTGAGTCGTGGAGAGTTGGGGTGGGTGGGGAAAAGTAAGAAATAGACAGGGCTTTCTTGTCTTTTTTTTTTTGTATCGTAAAGCAATAACAAAAATAGACTGAAGATTGATAGGAGTTCATAGGTAATAACTGATAATAATGATATTTTATTATTAACCTGAAAATGAATTCATAAACAGTGAGGCTTTTCTATAGAATGAGGACTTGTTAGTGGCCACCTCTCAGAAATGAGAAACCAGAGACATTCCCTTGCAGTGATCAACATCTCAGCTGTGAAAGGACAGAGCGAGTGGGCGAGCAAGCGAGAGGTTTCTGATGGAGCATTACTGCTGCTTATATTAAAAATACTTCCTTGCTGTTTCAGCCATTTCCAAGCAAAATTGAGTAACTTAGGCAAACAGGGCCACTCATGAGCAGGTGAAAGTTCTTTCATTCACTCCACCATGACTTTTACTAAAATAGCTAAGGCGAGACAAAAAGAGACTTTTAAACAACCTTTCAGGTGCACCCACAATCATCAGAGAGGCCAGAGTCTGGAAGAGTGAGGACCACAAGCTTCTACCCAAACACAACCAAACTCACTTCCATCGGGTCGATTCCAACTCCTAGTGGCCCTAGAGGACAGAGTAGGACTGCCTCTGTGGGTTTCTGGGGCAGTAAATCTTTTGGGAAGTAGAATGTCTCATCTTTTCCCTACAGGGCAGCTGGTAGGTTCTAACTCCGGACCTTGTTGGTTAGCAGTCCAACTCTTAACCCATTAGGTCAACAAGGCTTTTTGACAAGCCTGTACAAATCAAATTAATTATAAGTGGCAGTGGAAAATATATCAAATTCATGTGGAGGGTTTGGGGAATTCTGTTGTGATCAGGGAAGAAACGTTGAGGTCACAGTCCACAAAACCAAGGATTTCTTAGTATAGGATCCTGCCTAAACTGAGTATAAGTTTGGGAAAGTTGACCTTTGTGAGGTCTGATAATATGTGTGCTGACCTTAGTCTGATTTGCTTTGCTTACAGAGTTCCCTCAGTTCTGGGTGAGCAGCTGCCCGCCTGTGGCCAGCATTACTGGGAAACCACGGTCACAGACTGCCCGGCATACCGACTTGGCATCTGCTCCAGCTCAGCTGTCCAGGCTGGTGCTGTGGCACAAGGGGAAACCTCATGGTACATGCATTGTTCTGAACCACAAAGGTAAGCTGGAGCCCTGCCTCCCATGCCCATTTAAAAACAGTTTTATCAATATATAATTCACCTACTACACCACTCAGTGGTTTAAATATATATTTTTAATATTTTAAAACAATGAATTTTAGAAAAACATTTTTTTTGAATTTTCGAAAATTGTCATCATTCTTGTACCCATTATTCTTAGCTCCCCATACCACCCCGCTTCTCTTGCCATAACCCTGTGTTGTTAAGTGTCATAGAATCAGCTCTGCCTGGTAGTAACCCTATGTACACTGGAAGGAAACACTACCCAGTCCTGCACCATCCTCTCAATTGTTCTCATGTTTGAGACCATTGTTGTAGCCACTGTGTCATTCCATCTTGTAGAAGGTTTCCTCTCTTTTGATGCCCTTCTATTCACCAAGCATAGTGTCTTTCTTTAGGACCTGGTAGCTCATGATAACATATCCAAAGTACACGAGTCTTGCCATCGTCACCTCCAAGGAGTATTCTGGTAGTACTTCTTCCAAGACAGATTTATTTGTTCTTTAGGTAGTCCAGGGCGCTTTCAGTATTCTTCACCAATACCATCGTTCAAATGTGTAGACTTTTCTTCTGTCTTGCTTATTCAAGGTCTAATTTTCACATGCATATGAAGTGATTGAAAATACCATGGCTTGGGTCAGATGTACCTTAGTCTTCAAAATAGAATCTGTGCTTTTCAGCACTTTAAAGAGGTCTTGTGCAGCAGATTTGTCCAATGCAATGCATCCTTTGTTTCTTGAGTGTTGCCTTCAGGACCATTGATTGTGGATCCAAGCAAGTTGAAATCCTTCACAACTTCAGTCTTTTCTCTTCTTATCACAAGGTCACCCATTGGTACAGGTGAGGATTTCGGTTTTCTTTATATTGAGTTGTAATTCATACTGAAGGCTGCAATCCTTGATCTTCATCAGCATGTGCTTCAAGTCCTCCTCACTTTTAGTAAGCACGGTTGTGTTATCTGCATATCTCAAGTTGGTAATAAGTCTTCCTCCAATTGTGATAGTGTGTTTTCATATAATTCAGCTTCTCTTATTTGTTCAGCATACAGATTGAATATGTATGGTGAGATGATACAATTCCTGGTGCACACCTTTTCTGATTATAAACCTTGCAGTATTCTCTTTTTCTGTTTGCACACTTGCCTCTCGATCCATTTACAGGTTCCACATGAGTACAATGAAATGTCCTGGAATTCCCATTCTTCTCAAGACTATCCATAGTTAGTTCTGATCCACACTGTCGACTGCCTGTGCATAATCAGTAAAACAGAAGTATACATCTTTCTGGTATTCTCTACTTTCAGCCAAAATCCATCTGACATCTGTAATGATATCCCTTGTTCCATGTTCACCTGATTTTCTGGAAGCACCTGTCACCATACTGCCACAACCTTTGTTGGACAATCTTCAGCAATATTTTACTTGCATATGATATCAATGTTATTACTCTATAATTTGCACATCCTGTTGGGTCACCTTTCTTTTGAATGGGTATTAATATGGATCTTTTGGGTTTGAAAAAGTGTATTTGTGATGAAGAAGTTATTGCTCGTGCAAAAATCTATCATGTGATCTCCAGCTTTGTTTCTATGACCCAAACTATATTTTTCAATTACTGTTCCTTCCTTTTTGTTCTCAACTTGTACATTGCAATCGCCAATAATTACCAATGCATCTTTATTGGACATTTGAGCAACTTCAGACTGAAGACATTAGTAGAATTCTTCAACTTCAGCACTAGCTTTAGTGGTTGGTTCATACATTTGAATAATAGTTGCATGGATTGGATTTCCTTACACGCAGCTAGATACCATTCTATCACAGGCAGAATTGTGCTTCACAATAGCTCTTGAACTGTCCTTTATGATGCTGAATGCAATAGCATTCCTCGTGATGGTATCATTCTGGGCATAGTAAACCACATGATTTTCTGATTCAAAATGGCCAATGCCAGTCCATTTCAGCTCACCAATGCTTAGAACGTTGTTCTTTATGCATTCCTTTCATTTTTAATAACTTCCAATTTTCTAATTCATTCCAAGTTCCAATTATTAATTGATGTTTACAGCTGTTTCTTCTCATTTTGGGCCATTCCCCATCAGAAAATACAGGTCTTGAAGACTTTATTCCTGCATGGTTTTACTCCATCCGCACCGCTATGGTTGACTTTACTTTGAGAGAGAAGTTCTTTAATTCTATTTTGAGTACCTTCCAACCTGAGGGTCTCATCTTTTGACACTGCCTCTGACCATGTGCTGCTTCTATTAATGAGGTTTTCAGTGATTGTCAGTGTTCTGATGCTATACATGGGCTTTTCAGTGGGTAATTATTCTGAAGTGAACAGTCCGTTCTTATTCTTGAAACGCTGCTGAAACCTATTCACTTTGGATGACCCTGGTGGCATTTGATTTAACAGTGGCATCGCCTTCAGCATCAGAGCAACACACAAGCCACCAGAGTATGACAAACTGACAGACAAGTAGTAGGCCATATGCCTAAGGAGCTACCAGTCCAGTTACTGCCTCTATAGGTTTACCTATCCTGGATTTCATATACAACAAATAAATAAACTCTAACAATGGAAATAAAATAAAACCCAGAAAACCCTCAAGCCAAGAGAAATGTTACATTTTAACCTGTGTGTGCAGTAATCCACTTTTGTTTGAGGGCAAGATTATTCATATCTTTGGTCAATGGTCCCCGCGGATCCCGATTTTGCCTATCTCAGACTGCACCTTTCTCCCTGCATCCTCACTAACAGTGTTCAATTCTCTGAGAAGATGGGTCAGCAGGGACCCATTTCCAAGGGCTATTTAAAGTCACGTTTTATCAGCCAGAGCAACTGTGATTGGTCTTCAGTGCTGTGCACTGCTTAAGGACACAGTGCCCAACCTGAGTTTAAGTCACTGAAACATAGAGCTTACAGCCAAAAGATTGAGAGCTGGAACTAGGTTTTGATTTCCTGAAAAGTTCCTCTGATACTTGAACCTTTAATAACCCAATCCAAAGACTAGCCTCCAAGTGCTCGACCTCTGGCTGCAAGGTTAGCTGTTCCAGGCCACCCAAAGCACTGCTTCCAAAAGGTGAGGGCCATGGGCACCCTGTGGAGCAGTTCTATTCTACACACACACACACGGTGGTCAGGACCAACAAGACTCCAGAAAACACAATTGTATTCTTTGTTCACGATTCGATCTTCCTCTACCAGCCCAGGGGAGATTCCTAGATGCTGGGGAAAGAGTGTGCCAGCCACTGTGGTTACAGTCCCAGAGGTCAGGTTCCAAGTGTCTTCTTTCCATGGTCAAGGGACTTCAGGTCGAGCACTCCTGGCCTTCTGCAGCAGGCCCTTCTTTTATTTTTCATCTTTTCTGGCTTGATGATTTTAAAACAAGCTGTCTTACTCTAGACCAGCAGTTCTCAACCTATGGGTTACGACCCATTTGGGGGTTGATCAACCCTTTCACAGGGGTTGCCCGATTTATCACAGTAGCAAATTTACAGTTATGAAGTAGCAATGAAAATAATTTTATGGTTGGGGGGTGACCACAACATGAGAAACTGTATTAAAGGGTTTCCGCATTAGGAAGGTTGAGAACCGCTGCTCTAGCCCCTCCTCACTGAGAGCATGAGCATTGTGATATTACAATAGAAAAGGTTATGTGAAGAGAGTCTGAGAAGGGAGACTCAACTAGATTTGAGCATCTCTCTTGCTGTCCATTCCTAACTGTACCGCCCTAGCTCAGGCTTCTGAGTCTCTTTACCAGTATCTGCAGTGGCCACCGGGCCTGTATCTTTGTGTCATCACTCTAACCTATCCTATGAGTCACAACTATCACATGCTTCTGAAACATCATTTAATTGTGTCCCTTTTCTGCTCAAACATCCACAGCGGTGCACAGCTAGCGTGGGATCAGCATTAGGGCACAGTGAAGAGGGGGCCAGGTGGGGAATGAAGAGACGTCAGGGATGGCTGCCGCCAGTCAATAAAGAGACCTGGGTACACTCTGGGTCAGCAGTGAGGGTCAGATCTAGTCTATCTAGGGTTGGGGTCTGAGGATAATAAGCACTGCTAGTCTCAGTCCAGCAGGCCCGAGAAAGGAAGGTCCAAAGCTGGACAGGAAGTCTGGCCCTAGGGAAACACAACTGGTTTCAGGGCAGAACTTAGGTTAATGGAAACGAAGCAGAGACAGGGCAAGGTAGACTCCAGGGCCCGTGGAATGGGTGGAGCCAAGACCTCTATGTTGGGGGTTGACCAAGGCTGGAAATATACTCACTAAGAGCTTTCTAAGCAGGGAGGAAGAAATGACCGATTTGGGCATTCAGAGCAATATGGTACAGTAGAATATTTCTGCAACAATAAAAAGTGTCACATGCAGATATTGAACTCTTGAAATGTGGCTAGTGGGACTGAGCAACTGAGTTTTCAATTTTATTTAGATTAATGTAAGTAGCCACATGTGGCTAGTGGCTACCGTATTGGACAGGGAAGATCAAGAGCTTAGCCCCTGACTTACCTCTCTGTGTCGTATCCCTTGTCCATCCAAACCCACCAGACAGTGATGCTCTCTGTAACACACAGGCTGCCTTTGCCACCTGTCGTTGTTTGTGCGGGGCCCGCTATTTGGACCTCTTCTCCCTCCTTTCCACTTTCCAGTCCTGCCCGTCCTCTGTTTCTGCCCCAGGAAGCTTTCTAGAAGAGCCCCATCATTGCCACCGGCAATGTTGGCCTGCCCTGCAGGCCCTCCTAACTCTCTGCCCTGCTCTATCTCTCACTAGCAAGGCTTCAAAATGGTCCTCTATCATCATGTAAGCCTCACTGATCTCCCCGTCCTCATCAACCACTGCTCCTCTGTTTGAGCTGTATTCTGCAAAAAAAAAAAAAGAAAAAAGTTGCCACATTTCACCCCACTGAATTCACCAGGGTCTTAAAAACAGACAGCGCAGGTCTTACAGGCCCTTGGCTTTCCCTGCCTTCCAGAGCCACTTATGTAGATCCTTAGGGCCCCAGACTGCTCACCCCGCATCCCTGCCACCCGCCTTGACCTTCCTTCATTTCTTATCTTCCAGCTCCCATTTCTTCCCTGCCCCTGACTTCAGGGCCTCACCCTTCTGGGAGAAATCACCAAACTTGAACCTCTTCTCCGTGGTACAGAACAATTTAGCTCCTGCTTTTCAGCAAGGTCTCCCTCCAAGTCTGACCTCTCACCCTCCTTTTTTCAGCATCACGAAAGGGCCAGTAGATGCCTTTGATAAGCATTTGCCTCATCTCTGCCTCAGATGAAGTCTCACTTCTAGCCTGTGTTTACATCATGACCACGCTTTCCTCCCTGCTCCGCACAGAACCTCTTTCCTGAGAGGGCCAGGACAGTAGTCTGTATCCTTCACGCTTCCCTCCCGCCCCAGCCCCTGCTCCATGTTCCTAGGTACATGCTGGCCTCTAGGATGAGTTCAAAGGATAGCTGTCGAATTTGCTGGAAACTTTGAGAAGAGGACATGGAAAGCTGTGTTGGGGTAGAGCTCAGATACAATAAAAAAGAAACTTGCTTAAGGTCCTCATGGAAGTGAGCCAGAACCATTTTAAACTGTAAAATGGACACGTGGTAGGGAAGGTGAGCATGTGGTACTTTTTAGAATCCATGGCCGCCTCCAAAGATTTGATTCGAAGGAAGGGAACAACGCAGAGTGCAGGAGTTAAAACACATGGGCAGCCGGGGAAGGGTTAGAAGGTTGAGAGAAACCCCAAGGGAGGTTGTCCGGGGACTTCAGCGCAGCAGGAGCAAAACGAAGAAGAAGGCTCCTCTGTCAGGGTGAGCAGGGCATTCCAGCAGCTAGGCGGAGCTGGGTAAGCATGGTATTTTGGACGACGTGATAAGAACTCATGATTGCAAACTGAAGTTACTAACGGAACCATTGTTTACTTCCAAGTGGTGGTCTGCATCATGTTCCTTTCAGATTCCTGACGTTTCTGTTTCCCTGCTCTTTCCTTCCAGATACACCTTTTTCTACAGCGGCATTGTGAGCAATGTGCACGTGACCGAGCGCCCGGCCCGAGTGGGCATCCTGCTGGACCACAACAACCAGAGGCTTCTGTTTCTAAATGCTGAAAGTGGACAGTTACTCTTCACCATTCGGCACAGGTTTAATGAGGGCGTCCACCCTGCTTTTGCCCTAGAGAAACCTGGCAAATGTACTTTGCACCTGGGGCTAGAGCCTCCGGATGCTGCCAGGCACAAGTGATGATTTGCTTTCAGAGTCTGGCAGAGCAGTCACTCAAATTCCCGGGGTCTTTTGTGTTTTCCACCGAGAGTCATCCATTATTCCAACAGTCTCACACTCACGAGAGCTACTTGCACCTTGATCGCACATGTGCACGACCCCCAGAATATCCAGACTAGCAACGAGAGGGCTAGAGCAATGTCCACCCTTTGGTATATCCAAGATGTTCCATTTATTTTCTAGACAAGAATTGACACTTGTCTTGGGGATTAAAATAGAGGCATTGCCTTCCGCGTGTTCCATTTGTAAGAGATGCCCTCTGATGGATGGGGAAAGGAGCCCTGGTGGATAGTGGGTTACGAATCAGGCTGCTAACCACAAGACCGGCAGTTCCAACCCCGCAGCCACTCTGTGGAAGAAAAGGTTGGTTTTCTGCTCCCATAAAGAGTTACAGGCTCAGCAACCCACAGGTGGCAGTTCTATCCTGACCTTTAGGGATTCTATGAGTCTGAAGTTTCTTGATGACAATGAGCTTGGTTTTTTGGTGGATGGATGGAGCAGAGATAAGGGAGGATGTATTGGTAACATATTTCTGAGAAATAAAATGTATTTTTTCCTACAAGACAAATGCCACCACACGTCAACAAAGGATAAGGAATTTTTATTACCAGAGAGCACTGCACACTAAGGATGCTTGAATGGTTCTGTGTTTACAAGGAACTCTGTTTTAAGAACGTATGCTGTAGAACATGAGTCTCCTTTCTCTCAAATTTAAAATGTAGGAAAATGATTGCGATGACAAATTCCTGTTTTCTTTAATAAAGAGTTATAGTATATAAAAAACAAAGCATGTGATGTGAACTTATTAGACAGCATGGGTGACTTAAAACAAGTCTGGCATCATTGTCTTGGGGCAAGCTGTAGAGCCCATGATGTCAAGAACCACTGCACTTAGTGGGCTGCACTACTAGGGATTGTCCACTTGGGAGTTTTGCACATGTGCATCTTTTAATCCAAAATCTTATTAGCCTATCATCCTGCCATCCTGTCTTCTGAGATGTATTATGGCTGTACTTCTTCCAAGACATTGGTTTTTTCTTTTGGCAGAGCCTGGTACTTTCAATATTATTTGACACCACCATAACTCAAATGCATTGGTTCTTCTTCAATCTTCCTTATTCAATATCCAACTTTCACATGCATATGAGGCTATTGAAAATATGATGGTTTGTGTCAGGAGCTCACCATTCCCTCCACCACCACACCACCCTGCCTCTCTTCCTGTACCCTCAGGGAACTATTACTCCAGTTACTGTTTCTGAAGGGTTATCTATCTTGACTTTCATGTACCGAACAATCTTAAATATATAAATGAACATACATAAATCTAACATTATTAATGAAGTACAACAAATAAAAACAATAATAGGGGAGGGAATATTAAAGAACTAGAGGATAGTTATATAATTCATCAGTGCCATACCACACTCTGGATTTATCATCCCTTCTGTGTGGCCCTTCTGAGAGGGAATTTCCGATTATCTTACAGATGGGTTTTGGGTCTCCACCACATCCATGCCATTTCACATTGATTTGATTGCTTGTTTTTGACCTTCTGATACCTCTTCCCTTCAACAGCTCATGAACACACAAGATGGTGTGCTTCTTCCATGTGGGCTTTATTGCTTCCCTGCTAGATGGCCACTTGTTTAAGTATAAGCTTTTAAGATCCCAGATGCTATGTCTTTTAGTAGCCAGGCACCTCAGCTTTCTTCACCACATTTGTTTATGCACCCATTTTGTCTTCAGTGATCATCATAGGAAGGTGAGTATCCTATAATACCACATTATTAGAGCAAACCATTCTTGTACTGAGGTAAGGTTAAAGTAGAGGCCCAAAATCCATCTGCTTACTTGTTGCAGTTGTATAAATATATGTTTTTCTTCTTTCTTATTTTTTACCCCCTTCCTACCCCACTAGTATGTTTACCCATTGTTTACCTCTCAGTAATTCCTCTCAGAACCAATTAAATTTATCAAACATGACCAGAAAAACTATACCTTCCTCACTATAAATCTTAAAACACTATTCCCTCCGTACCTGTCATTGTTGGCTCCCCGCTCACCTGCCTCCTCTCCTCCCTTCTGCTTCGTTATTGATGCTGCCATAACTCTGGGCAGACAGGAGTTTGGTTACCTTTGCTTCGTCAGTTCCAGTGACTTTGACCCACCGTTATTTGCACAAAGTGCCTGGAGAATTACATGAGTCCCTAACATTCTATTTTATAGAAAAGGCTTTACACGTGTGAAACTACATTGCTTCTTCTAAGCGGTATAGGGACCAATGTCAAAGAGGTTATTGGGAAGACAAAAAGAAATGTGGGTTTATACTGTGGTCCTACCCTGTTTGCATATGAACCCTACAAGCTTAAATGGATGTATTCTTTATTAAAGTTAAACATTTTCCTACCAGAGAAACCCAAAATATTCTAGTTGTTTTTTCTAGAAATACATCACTAAAGCCAATCAGAATGCAAGTACTATGCCTTTTCACACACACATGCAACACTGTGCTATAAGGACCAAATACTAACTGAACGCATCTTTCAGGTCTCAGAGTGGGCAGTGTCTGAAGTCTCTTTTTGCCTTTACTGTGTTAATTACCCATTCATCGTTTAAGTGTTCAATTGCTGAATTTATTTACAGAATCAATTTATCTTCCTATAACAATTTTATGACAGGCAAAGGATATAGTACAGCAACACAGAAAAAGGTGGCATTAGAATGTGTCCTGCTACCACAGGAAGCACCTTTGTTTCCCTACCACTGGCCAGCACCGCTTTGTATTGTCTCCTGGTCTCCAGCCACCATAGAGGTACTTGCGAATTATTAAGAAGCCCAAATTCTGTCCATCATGTGGGATCTCCCAGAGTGAGCTGCTCACTCGAGTACATTCCAGCGATACTACTTGCCTTCATCTTCAAAACTTGCCTCCCCACTTCCCACAAGCACCACCCAAATCAGGTGGCAAAGATAATTAGTGAAAAATGCTGACAGGTGGATAGT